AATGTAAATATAAGTCAAGGTGCTGCAATAGGGAGAAATTAAGTTATGCAACAAAAAAGCATTGTTGATTTTTTATTAAGCCATAGAAGGTATCAAGTGCTGTGGTGGGGATTTGGCCCTACTATACTTGAGTACTTATGTAAACAAAAAAGTTTTAATGCTAAAGAGCTATTAGAAAAACATAAAAATAATATTGCGTTGGAAAAAGAGAGTTTAGAGTTACTTGCAGCACTTGGTGAAATCAAAGCTTACTGGTGGTGGCCGTGGAGCGCTAAAGTTAAAGAAGTTGTTTTAAGTGAAAGTCAAAAAGAAAGAGCAGAAAAATATTCAAGCTATTTTTTCTTACATCGGGTAGTGTTAGTGATGTTTACCTCAGTACTTACCCATCGTATTGTGTTTTTTCAACAAAGTGGAGGTTATATGAATAGAAATCAACAATGTAATAATTCTGAAGAATCGTCAGCAGTACAAATAGGACAACAGCTACCAGAAGCTACAGGTAGTTTAACAGCTCAAGATCAATTAAGTATTCAGCACCTAAATTTCCTTGGGTCCGCAATGGTTTATAATGTGGAGTTGGGATGGGCATTGCATTTAATGGGGTTTTCTTCGCAAACTTTAAGTGAATTAGATAAGAGCTTAGCCCGTGTAAGAGAGGCAAATTATAGTAAAGAAGCAATGGAAGGATATGCCTCATCTTTTAAAGAAATAGTTACAGATAAATATAGAGAGTTGGCACGGAAGGTGCATTCAGATAAGCAAGATGCACGAAATTCATCAAACATGCAAGATGAAAAAATGAAGGACTTAACTAGTATGAAGGAAGTCATGAATGGGTTATATGAAGCTTCAAAAGAGAAAAGCAATACCTTTAGGTACGAAATGTTTGCTAAAATAGCATTTAACTTTTTGCACCAAAATATAGATAAATGTACAAGTTATATAAATAAAGACGTAGTAGCAGAATTGAGAAATATAACAATTTGGCGGCAATCTGATTTACTTTACTGTCGCAATGAGTTTTTAAAAAATGCACAAGAACTTTTTG